CTGAGTCGCCGCCCCTGCAGTTGCAGCAGCCGCAGCAGCCGCCGCAGTCGCAGCCTTCGCAGCAGCCGCAGCAGCCGTCGCAGACGCGGCAGACGAGTGTTCTCCCGCCAGGGTGGCCCGGCGCTGGCGGTGGACGGGCGCGTGGTGGTGTGCCGCGTGGTGGCTCTGCCGGCGGGCGTTGTCAGTACCAGATCCAGACCGGTCCTCGCCGCGGTTTCGTTTGCGGTAAGATCGGTCACTCCACTCCCCGCTGCTTTCGTCGCCTGGACGACCTCTTTCGTCAGCATTTCGGCCCGTCGCCAGACCTCCCGGACTGGCACAGTTTGCTTAGTCGTCAGATTCAGATCTTTGATATGGACATGGATGCCATTGTTTCTGCTCTGCATGTGATGTATGCTGATGACTCTAGTGTGCTTCCGACTTATTACTCACTGTTGCCTAGTGTAGGTGTGCCTAGCTTAGCCTCCCCTGCTGCGTCAGGCGTAGGATCCCCTGCTTTGTGTAGTCTTGGTGCTTCTGCCGTCGTTCCGTCGCCAGACCCCTCGGCTTCGCTTTCCTTCACCTTGGACTCTGGCGCCTCTCGGTGTTTCTTCCGCGACTCCACCACCCTGACGCCGCTTCCTGTTCCTGCTGCCGTTTCTCTTGCTGACCCCTCTGGCGGCCCGGTAGTCGCCCGCAGTTCCACCACCCTTCCCTGTCCGGCGGTTCCTTCGGGCTCTCTTACAGGTCTGCATATCCCCTCGTTCTCCAGGAACCTAGTTGGTGTCGGCTGCCTCCAGGACCTTGGCGTCACCACTACGTTCCCTGGTCACGAGCGGTATGCTGTCTGTACCGAGGCCGCCACTGGTGCCCCCCTGTCCACGTTCCCCCGGGACCCGGTGTCCGGCCTGTTCACTCTGGACACCGTGCCCCCCCCGGCTGGAGCGCCCCCTCAGGTGGCTGTGTCTACCCAGGTTGCTGCTGCCTGCTCCTGTCGCTCCCTCACTCACCCGACCCTCCTGTGGCACCACCGCCTAGGTCACCCTGCGCTCCCGCGTCTGCGTCACATGTCCCAGCACGGTCTTGTCCTTGGTCTCCCAGGTTCACTCCCCGCGTTTCCCTCCTCCCCAGCTCCACCTTGCACGCCTTGTGTCGAGGGTCGGCTTCGCCGTGCCCCTCACTCCTCCTCGTTCCCCCCTACCGCCGCGCCGCTGCAGACCCTGCACCTGGACGTCTGGGGCCCCGCCCCCGTCCCTGGGCCGCGTCGCGAGCGCTACTTCCTTGTGCTTGTCGACGACTTCACTCGTTACACCACAGTCTTTCCCCTGGAGCGCAAGGCCGACGTGCCTGGCGCCCTCATCCCCTGGCTTGTCTCTGCGCGTGTCCACCGCGGTCTCCCTGTCTTGCGTCTTCACTCAGACCGTGGTGGCGAGTTTGCCTCAGGTGTCCTTGGTCGCTTTTGTCGTGCGGAGGGCATCACCCAGACGTTCACCCTACCGGACTCCCCACAGCAGAATGGGGTCGCTGAGCGACGCATCGGCTTGGTCATGGAGGTCGCTCGCACCTCCATGGTCCATGCGGGTGCACCCCATTTTCTGTGGCCGTTCGCTGTGCGCTACGCTTCTCACCAGCTTAACCTGTGGCCGCACCCTCAGCAGCCGCAGGTTTCGCCGACCCGTCTGTGGACTGGGTCTCCTGGTGACGCGTCTGCGTTCCACGTCTGGGGCTGCCTTGCTCACGTCCGTGCCTCCGGCACGGACAAGCTCACTGCCCGCACCCTTCCCTGCGTCTTCCTCGGTTTTCCCCTTGACGCGTCCGACTGGCACTTTTACCACCCGCCGTCTCACCGCTTCTTTCACTCTCGTGACGTCACCTTTGACGAGTCCGTCTCCTACTACCGCCGCTTCCCCCACCGTGGTCCCCCGGTTACCCCCCCCCCTGTTCCTGGTCACCCCTTCCCCGGTAGTCCCTGCCCCTCCTCCTCCTCCTCCCCGTCCCGCCCCCTCTGGTGTCTCCCATGTCACCCCCCTTCCGTCCGTGGACCCGGTTGAGGAGTCTTCTGACTCTGGTGGCCCTCCGGTGCAGTCCTCGCCGGCCGCCCCTCCCCAGGTGTCCCCTCCCCAGTCCCCTCCTCCGCCGTCCCTGCCGCCACTGCAGCCGTCGCCGTCGCCGCCGCCGCCGCCGCAGTCGCAGCCCCCGTTCGCTGACTCTGGGGGTGCTCGTCCCGGTCGCCCTGAGGGTGGTCCCTCTGGGGGTGCGGGTGTGGAGAGTGCCGGTGGTAGACGAGGAGCAGCTTGCGGTCCAGGTGTCGCCGTTGTGCCGCCGCAGCAGCAGTCCCCGCCGGTGTCCGCCCTTCGCCTGCTCGGCCTTCCGTCCCCCGACCCTGCGTCGGTTCCTCCCCGACCGTCTCCTCCTCTTCCTGTCTACGGCCCTGTTTTCCCTCCGCCGGACTCGTCCCCGGCCCGTCTCCCCCCTCCTTCCCCTCTTGTGTCCCCTCCCCTATCTCCTGACCCGACTCCTCCATCGCACGTCTGGTCTCACCGTCCCTCCCGTGCTCGTCCTGCCTCGCCTGTCCTGCGCTCCCACCCTATGTTGCTTCGTTCACACGCGTCTCGTCCTCCCCTTCTGCCGTCACCTCCTCCGTCCTCCCTTGTTGTTGCGCCCCCCCCGCTGTCCGACTACCTTCGTGCCGCTCGTCCTCTCGTTCCTCGGGTCCTTGCCTCTCTTGTTACCGACCCGTCTGTTCCAGTCTCGTGCCTTGACGCTCTTGTCGCTGCTGTCGCTGACTTCGCCTCTACCCGCCGCCTTGACTACGCCACCGCTCTGGTCTCTGACCCTGCCTGTCCTCCGTCTGTCGGGGGTGCTCCTGCCCTTGGCAGTGACGTCCTGGAGGACCGCCAGTTCGAGCTTGCTTTCCTCTCCGAGGCTGCTCCCCATCTCTGTTCCATGCTGCTAGTCCCTGAGGGTGACCCAGACGCTTTCGACATCCCGACCCCTCGCACTTACGCTGAGGCGACCTCGGGACCTTGGGCCTCGCAGTGGATAGCTGCCATGGAGCAGGAGATGGCATCTTGGAGATCCACCGGCACCTTCGTCGACGCAGTTCCCCCACCTGGGGTGAACGTCGTCGATGGCCGCTGGCTCTTCAAGGTGAAGCGCCCTCCTGGAGAGCCGCCTGTCTTCAAGGCGCGCTATGTGGCTAGAGGCTTCAGTCAGCGCGAGGGGGTGGACTTCTTCCAGACTTTCGCTCCGACCCCGAAGATGACTACTCTTCGGGTTCTGTTACACCTAGCTGCTCAGCGTGACTACGAGCTTCACTCCCTCGACTTCTCCACTGCCTTCCTTCAGGGCAGCCTACACGAGCAGGTCTACCTGCGCCGCCCTCCGGGCTTTACTGGCACCTTCCCTCCTGGGACCCAGTGGCTCCTGCGGCGCCCCGTCTACGGCCTGCGCCAGGCTCCTCGTGAGTGGCACGACACTCTGCGTGCTACGCTTGCTGACCTGCAGTTCTTTCCGTCTTCTGCAGACCCTTCACTCTTCGTTCGTGCTGGCCAGACTCCGTTCTACATCCTCGTTTACGTCGACGACCTGGTCTTTGCCACAGCAGACAGGGACGCGCTGGCCTCCGTGAAGGCAGAGCTGCTGAAGAGACACACCTGCACTGACCTTGGAGAACTGCGCCGTTACCTTGGCTTGCAGATCTCCAGGGACAGAGCTGCGCGCACCATCACCCTGACTCAGTCACACTTGGTGCGCCAGGTCCTTCAGAGGTTCAGCCTTCAGTTCTCCTCTGCACAGCCCACCCCTCTGCCTGTAGACCACAGGCTCTCCGCTCCAGTGCCTGAGGAGTTGGTAGAGCCCAGCAGCCCCTACGCAGAGCTGGTGGGTTGCCTCATGTACCTGATGACTTGCACTCGCCCAGATCTCGCATACCCTCTCAGCATCCTGGCTCGCTTTGTGGCCACAGGCAGACACCGACCGCAGCACTGGTCTGCCGCTAAGAGGGTCCTGCGTTATCTTGCTAGTACATCGGGCATGGGGTTAGTGCTAGGAGGACGCAGGCCAGCGGTCCTTACTGGGCACACAGACGCTTCGTGGGCAGACGACGCTGAGACACTCCGGTCTACCCAGGGCTACTGCTTCAGCCTTGGCTCAGGTGCCGTCTCGTGGAGAGCTACTCGCTCCTCGTCTGTTGCACAGTCCAGCTGTGAGGCTGAGATCTACGCCGGTGCCATGGCGGCACAGGAGCTCCGCTGGCTGACCTTCTTGCTCACTGACTTAGGTGAGCGACCTAGCTCTGCCCCGGTCCTGTTCGCTGACAACAGGGCCATGATCCTCCTGTGTCAGGAGCCTCGACTCGAGGGCAGAGCGAAGCACATTCAGCTGCGGTACTTCCTCCTGCGTGAGCTACAGCAGCGACGTCAGGCTCGCGTAGTACACTTGGCCTCAGGTGCCAACACGGCTGATATCTTTACGAAGGCGCTTGCGCCTAAAGATCATCAGCGGCACTGTGTACAGCTTGGTCTAGTTCCTGTAGCCTCTCACTTGCTAGGACCTTGACTTTGTACTGTCCTTTATATGTATACTCAGACTGGACTTGTGTCCTCTCCCAGTGGCTGGACTAGTAGTGCCGCCCTGCTCTTGTGCTTGCCTTGTCTGTACTCCTTCTGACCGGTCGCTCAGACCCTTGTCTCAGAGGTTGGACTAGTAGTGCCGCCCTGAGCTGCTTGTTTAGGGTATTCCCCTATGCAGTCTAGGGGGTGTGTCAAACATGTGTATTTGTCATGTTTGTATAGACTGTATAGAGTCACCTCTTAGAGGATACAAAACTTAGATATATTTGTGTGTACTCTCACTTTACCATTATTTCAATTATTCTGATAATGTGAAACTCCATTTCAAGATGTGATAAGAAGCCGATCTTGGAAATGACTGTATCCTGTTTTTGATGCTACGTGATTTGAGACAAACGAGATTTCGGGTGTATACCGGCGCTGTAGCTCGCTCACACGATAGCGGACAGCTCGAGAAGTCCCTGAGTACTGACGCCATAGAACCTAGCCTTGATACTGACGCCAGCTCATGGATGGGGGAATGGCTGCTATGGGAGCAGGTTTCCGATCAGGCGGGGGTGGTGGTACGGACGGAGGACCGTTGGAGATAACCGTCACGGATCCCGTCAAGCAGGGCGACGGTGTTAACGCGTATACGTCTTATCGAGTCACCACCAAGGTAGTACCGAGCCCCTTGCTGCTCGAACTCCGTTGCGTTTCTTCCGTCGGTCCTTCGTTCCTGATTGTCGTTCCATTTTTCGGAGTTGTCTGACCAGGTGATTCGGAACTCAGGTGCACACCCCGTCCCTTTCCTTTCCCCCCTCTCCCTCCCCCCCACACGTCCCCCCTCTTTTCTCTCCTCTCTCTCTCCGCGGATCTCCTTTCGCCGCTTGTCCTCTCAACCCCCCTCGCCAAACTCGCACTGATGTCGACTCTGGGTTCCGCGGTTCGGGTTGTAACACCCTAACGAAACGGGTATCCCCAGTCGCCAGCGTCGGACGGCGAGGTGTACGTAATCCGGCGGTTCTCCGACTTCGAGTGGCTGCACGACCGTCTGGGCGACCTGCACAGGGGAGCCATCGTGCCTCCGCTGCCCGATAAGAACGTCGTTGGTGAGTCACGTTCCTTTTGAGGTAAGGGTGTGCAGGCTGCTGGTAATCTCTCACTTCTCCGACCTCCAGTGGCTGCATGACCGCCTGGGCGACCTGCACAGGGGAGCCATAGTGCCCCCGCTGCTAGACAAGAACGTCGTTGGTGAGTCAAGCTTCTTGTGAGGTAAGGGTGTGCACGGTGCAGGCTGTGCACGGTGCAGGCTGCTGGTACTCCCTCGCTTCTCCCACTTGGAGTGGCTGCACGACGTTTGGGCGAGCTGCACAGGGGAGCCATTGTGCTGCCACTGCCAGACAAGAACGTCGTTGGTGATTCAAGGCTGTTTGTAAGTTAAGGTTGCTGGTGGTTGCTGGTGGTTGCTGGTGACTTGACCCTGTTCGTCAGCAATCCAGTGTCCGACTTCCAGTGACTTCCAGTGACTTCCAGTGACTTCCAGTGACTTCCAGTGGCTTCCAGTGACTTCCAGTGGCTTCCAGTGACTTCCAGTGACTTCCCTCTCTCCTCAACCCCCCTTCCCTCCACCTCCCCTCCTCTTCTCCTCTTCCCCCCCTCCCCCCCCTTTCCTTCCCCCATATCCCCGTTTCAATCCCCCCTCCCTCCCATCCTGTGACGGCAAAGACAAGTTTCGGTTCAGCATTGAGTTGGGTTTGTGGAGAGTTGGCGCCAAGGGATGGATTCAGATACAACCACACAGTGGCAACTAAGGCGCGTGTGGTTGATTCTTACACCCCCTCTTTCCCTCCTCCCCCTTCTCTCTCTCCCCTCCCCCCCCCACACACCACCCCACCCCGTTCCAGAGAAGTTTCGCTTCAGCCGTGAGTTTGTGGAGAGCCGTCGCCGAGGGCTGGAGACGTTTGTGAGGCGCGTGGCGCGGCACCCCGTGCTGGGACAGGCGGAGGAGCTGCAGCACTTCCTCAAGGACAGCGAGGACCGATGGGTGGGTTGGAAAGGACTTGTGGCAGGTGGGCGTGTTGCAGGGAGGGTTGTGGCGGCAGGCGGGGAAGGGGGTTGGTGCTTGGGGGTGGCAAGGCACGGGGTGCTGGGAAAAGCAGAGGAGCTCCGGCACTTTCTCAAGGACAGCGAGGACCGATGGGTGGGTTGGGGGGGGATTTGGGGGGGATTTGGGGGTTTTTTTTGGGGGAGGGGGGGGGGGGGTAAGGGGAGGGGGGAGGGGATTGGGGATTTTAGGGATGGAAATTAGTGGTGGGTGGCATGGCATGGCACCCCGTGCTGGGGCAGGCAGAGGAGCTCCAGCACTTCCTCAAGGACAGCAAAGACCGATGGGTGGGTTGCGGGGGATTTGGGGGATTGGGGGGGCGAGGGGGAGGGATGGGTGGGGATTGGGGGGTGGGGGGGGGGGAGGGGAGGGGTGCTGGGGAGAGAGGGGGGAGGGTAACTGGTCCGTGGCACGGCACCCGGTGCTGGGGCAGGCGGAGGAGCTGCAGCACTTTCTCAAGGATAGTGAATACCGATGGGTGGGTTTTGGGAGGGGGTGGTGGGGGGAGGGGGGAGGGGGAGGGGAAAAAAGGGGTGGAACTAACTGGTGGGTGGCATGGCACCGCGTGCTGGGGCAGGGGGAGGAGCTGCAGCACTGTGTGACAGACAGTGAGGACAGATGGGGGGGAATGGGGGAAGGGCAGAGGAAGGGAGAGGGGGGAGAGGAGAATCGCTGGTGGGGTTCATTGCCGAAAGAGGTTTCGAAAAGGGTGGCCTCTTGAGAAAGGGTGACCCTTTCGAAAAGGTTGACCCCTTCGAAAGGGTGACCTCTTCGAAAAGGGTGACCTCTTCGAAAAAGGTGACCTCTTCGGAAAGGGTGACCTCTTTGAGAAGGGCGACCCCTTCGAAAAAGGTGACCTCTTCTGAAAGGGTGACCTCTTTGAAAAGGGCGACCCCTTCGAAAAGGGTGACCTCTTCGGAAAGGGTGACCTCTTTGAAAGGGTGACCCCTTCGAAAAGGGTGACCTCTTCGAAAAGGGTGACCTCTTCGAAAAGGGTGACCTCTTCGAAAAGGGTGACCTCTTCGAAAAAGGTGACCTCTTCGAAAAAGGTGACCTCTTCGGAAAGGGGGACCTGTTCGAAAAAGGTGACCTCTTCGGAAAGGGTGACTTCTTTGAAAAGGGCGACCCCTTCGAAAAAGGTGACCTCTTCGGAAAAGGGTGACCTCTTTGAAAAGGGCGACCCCTTCGAAAAAGGTGACCTCGTCGGAAAGGGTGACCTCTTTGAAAAGGGCGACCCCTTCGAAAAGGGTGACCTCTTCGAAAAGGGTGACCTCTTTGAAAAGGGTGACCTCTTCGAAAAAGGTGACCTCTTTGGAAAGGGTGACCTCTTTGAAAAGGATGCGGGAAAAGGGTGACGAGAAACGGGGGAGGGGAGATGAAAAATGTTTAGAACGGGAACGGTGTCGAAAAAGGGGTGAAGAGGGGGGATGAAAAGTGTTTTGGGGGAAGGGTGATGAAGAAGGGGGGAGGATGGGGAATGGAAAAACGGTGAGTGGTATGGCACCCGATGTGGGGGCGGGCAGAGGAGCTTCAGCAGCTCAAGGCGCACTCTGCCTGCATCCCTTCTCCACACACCACCCTCCCCTCGCTCCCCCCTGTCCCCGCTGTCCCCCCTGCCTCCCCCCCTGCATTGACAGGCCATGAGTCAAAGCTCAATCCAGCGGAGTGCCAAACGCCAAGGTAGGCACCTTGAAGCCTAGTCCAGCGACCCCTTCAATCTCCTCGGGTTCTTCACCTCCGTTTCAGCCCCTTCCAAACACATCTCCCCCCCCCCCCTCCCCCCTTTCCCCCCCCCCAGCCCCCCACCCACCAACCCCCCCCCACACCCCTCCTCGTCCTCACCCCCCTTTCATTACCAGGCCCCAGAGATGCACAAGACAGCGGGGTCCAAGCTGCTTGGAGCCATGCCTCCCTTCAGCCTGTTCTCCACTGTGCAGTCAACACAATGCCCCTTTTTTTCCCCACGCTCTGTTCTCCCTGTTCCATGTGTTTACATGCGGGGATAGCTCAGTTGGGAGAGCGTCAGACTGAAGATCTGAAGGTCGCGTGTTCGATCCACGCTCACCGCATGTCGTTTTGACGATTTTGCTGTTTCTAGGCCTCCCCTCCCTCGAGAGCTTCTACACTCCCCCCGGATTTAAACAGACCAGAGATGTGTGAGACAGCGGGGTCCAAGCTGCTGGGGAGCCAAGCCCAGCGATTTTCTTCAGCCTCTTTTCCGCGCGCAGTCAACACACTCACCTCATCGTTTCCCTTCCCGCCCCTTCCCACTCCTTCCCACCTCGAACGGTCCTTTGTTGCTGGAGAATCTTGGGTACAGGCTAGCCATATAGAGTGGTTGCAAACAGGCACGGTGGTTCAGGTAAGTCTCCTAACCTACGGCATCTCCCCCTGGGGCTCTGTCACGGGGCAAAGCAGTCCCCGAGGGATATGCCGGCCTCGGGGGCGCCCAGGGAGGGCCACTCCAGTGGCGAGGCTGTGTTCACCTTCCCACCCCTTCCCACCACTGCCTCCTTCACTGCCAGACCATGGAGATGCACAAGACAGCGGAGTCCAAGCTGCCGGGAGCCACGCCCAGCGACTTCTTCAGCCTCTTCTCCAGCGTGCAGTCACCAGAACCCCCGCCCCTGGCTCTTTCCCCTTCCCCCCTCCCTCCATTCACTCATGCCCAGACCATGGAGATGCGGAAAACCGCGGAGTCGAAGCTGCTGGGAGCCAAGCCCAGCGACTTCTTCAGCCTCTTCTCCAGCGTGCAGTCGACCCTGGCGAGTGCTGTCTTAGGGAGGGAGGATGTGACAGAGGAGAAGGAGACGGAGCGGCTCAAGCGATACGCCGATGCCCTGGAGAAGGCTCTGACTGACTGCCACAGGGACGCGCTGCAGTTCGTGAAGAAGCAGAGAGGTGAAGGGTTGGGGGGGGGGGGGAGGGGGCATTTGTTTTTTGAGTCGACTCAAAATACATCTGTGAAGAAGCAGAGAGGTGAAGGGGGGGGGGGAAGGGGAGGGTAGGTGAGTGAGAGGGGACGGAAGGAGCGAGTGTGGTGCTTGGGGGGAACGTCATGACCGAGGGGAAGGAGATGGAGCGGAGCTCAAGAGGTACGCGGATGTTCTTGAGGCTCAAAAGCTGTGTTTGAACTGGATGTGATGAGGGTGTCGGTCAAGTAGTGTTGAGGCGCCTCAGGGTGAGCTGCATGTGTGAGCTTCATGTGCGAGCTGCATGTGCGAGCTGCATGTGCGAGCTGCATGTGCGAGCTGCATGTGCGAGCTGCATGTGTGAGCTGCATGTGCGAGCTGCATGTGTGAGCTGCATGTGCGAGCTGCATGTGCGAGCTGCATGTGCGAGCTGCATGTGCGAGCTGCATGTGCGAGCTGCATGTGCGAGCTGCATGTGCGAGCTGCATGTGCGAGCTGCATGTGCGAGCTGCATGTGCGAGCTGCATGTGCGAGCTGCATGTGCGAGCTGCATGTGCGAGCTGCATGTGCGAGCTGCATGTGCGAGCTGCATGTGCGAGCTGCATGTGCGAGCTGCATGTGCGAGCTGCATGTGCGAGCTGCATGTGCGAGCTGCATGTGCGAGCTGCATGTGCGAGCTGCATGTGCGAGCTGCATGTGCGAGCTGCATGTGCGAGCTGCATGTGCGAGCTGCATGTGTTGGGGGTTTTGACTGACTATTCTCATGCTTGATCGACCAGGCTGTAGGTCCACCACCTGGAACCTCGTGCTGGAGGGGGAGGAGGGGGAGAGTGCACCTCATGCTGTTATACTCGTCTCCCTCTTCCTCCCTTCTTTTCCCCCTCTCCACAGAGCTGGGGGCATCCATGTGCGAGTTTGGAGTGGCACTGCAGTCGCTGGGGCAGTGATGATGCACCTCGTCTCAAGCTGTTACTCGAATCTCTCTTCCTCCCTGCGGGTTTTCCTCCCCTCTCCACAGAGCTGGGGGCATCCATGTGCGAGTTTGGAGTGGCACTGCAGTCGCTGGGGCAGTGGGAGGAGGGCCCTCTGGGGAAGTGCTTTAGCGAGGTTGGCAATAAGGCGGATATTGTGGGCTCTGCTACCAGGAATAACGTGAGTTATGTTGAAACTTACGCATAGAAAACAATTGCTTATTTTCTTTGTAACCTAAGGTTTTGTTTTCTCCCTTCCTCATCGCTTTCTCTCTGAGTTTATCGATTATTCTGTGTGCAGGCGCAAGTCTTTCTAGAGAATCTCGAGGAGCCTTTGAAGGAGTACGTTCGACTTGTTATTTCACTCAAGGTCAGCGCTCACTTTTTCTGCAATAATTTTCTAGATTTCTTTCTTCTGCTCAAATCCCCAATTTTCCTCCGAGAAACAAGCCACTCTCATGCGTATTGCGCACATGCACTTACGCAGTCTGGAAACACAGCACCGTTCCAACATGCCTCGCCCCACCTTTCCTGCCTGTGAGCTTCTCTTTCTAGTTCAGAAGGCCATCTCTGACTGCTCTTTCACATGGAGCACTCTCAACCAACTAGAGGCGGACCTCAAAGCCACAACTATGGGTGCTTCTCTTGGAAAATCCAAAAAACCTATGGATGCCCTTCCTTCCTCTCAATTCTGCCTCTCTCTGCTCTCCTCTCTGCTCTCTCTCCTCTCCTCTCCTCTCCTCTCCTCTTTTTTCCTCTCCTCTCCTCTCCTCTCTTCTCCTCTCCTCTTCTCTCCTCTCTCTCCTCTCCTCTCCTCTCCTCTCCTCTCCTCTCCTCTCCTCTCCTCTCCTCTCCTCTTCCCCTCGCCAACTGCAGAAGGCCATCTCTGACCGCTCTCTTGCGTGGCGCAATCTCAACCAGCTAGAGGCGGACCTCAAAGCCAAGAAGGGCAAGCTGTGAGCGTGGAGGGAATATAGCTGAGAGAGTGTGGGGGGAATATAGCTGAGAGAGTGTGGGGGGAATATAGCTCAGAGAGTGTAGCAGTGCACTGCAGCCTCCCTTGCAGCAAATCCAATCCCTGTTCATCCCTTGCAGCACCTTTGCTGCATGGTGCTTTCCACTCTGGCTGGAAGGTGGAAAGAGGTTGCAGCATCCCTTGCAGCACCTTTGCTGCAACCTCTTGCTTGCAATCTCTACCGTGTGTCATCTTTTTTCTCTCTCCCTCGGGTTCTTGCTCACGTGTATCTCATCCGCCTTTGCGCAGGCTTTGCATTTCTTTGCCTCACCACTCCGTGTGGGTGTGGCCTCTTTTTTCCCACCCGGCCTCCCTTCTTCCGCCTACTGTCCAGGCATCGAGCCCAAGCAACTTCCCAGAAGCAGGAGAAGATTGAGGAGATAGAGAAGGAGATTGCCGATGTGAGTTGGTTTGGAGTTCTGCCATGTGTACCGGTGTGAGATTGTGCATTCTTCCGCCAAATGGGAGACCGAATGAGTTTGCATCTTACCGCCGCCGATGCCATGCTGGATATGTTGCACGCTGATGTGTCTCCCACTTCTGTGTGCATGTCATATGCTGACCTGTCATATGCTGACCTGTCACATGCTGACCTGGCAAAATCCGGATCGTCTGATGGAACACTTCCACCCCAACCATCTCCCCAATCCCAGGTGACTCGCAAGGTGGAAGATGCCAGGAAGGAGCACGCTGACGTGGCGCAGCGCCTGGGTGGCGAGCTGCAGCGGTGCCACGTGGAGATGGCAGCCGATTTCGATCGCATGTTCCGGGACTTCCGTGCGGTGCAGGTTCGCATTCAGCGGCAAACAGCACACTCGTGGGAGTCCCTGCAACCTGCCATCAGGGCTGCAGGTGCCGCCCTGCAGCAGAACCAGTCACAGACAGCAGCAGCAGCCCAACAGGCAGCCTAATTTTGGAGCACATGGTTGGACACTTCCAGACGGTCCAGCCAGGTTCGCATTCAGTGGCAAGCAGCGCATTCGTGGGAACCTGCCATTACGGCCACTGGTACTGCCCTGCAGCAATCACAGTCAGCAGCAGCAGCAGAATAGCCACTAGCCCGCTTACAGCGGCAATCGGCGCACTCGCAGGAGTCGTGGCGCGGCAACATGCTACCGCGCTGCAGCAGCAGAACCAGTCAGCAGTAGCAGCAGCAGCTCACAGGTGCCAGCCTCTTTAGATTTAATCTTCTGGGTCATTTTGTTTCAGATATGATACCAGTACAGTGTGCATCTCTGTGGAATTCGTTAGCATGTGCACTAAAGAAGAGGTAGGCACTTGCAGTACCCATATAACAGTAGTGTATGGAGATCCAGGTCATGTCCAGCAGCAAATCGTACTCGCGTGGGTATCACTGCATTTTGGTATCAAGGCTGATAATGCGCAGCAGTCAACAGCCTTCCCACAGTCAATGTACTTGCCATAATGTGCAGTGCAGAGGTGGTCGATTGTCAAAGTGTTGTCAAACATATATATAGGTTATGTTTGTATAGACTGTATAGGTTCATATCTTAGAGGGTACAACACTTAGGCTTTTACCCTTGTACTGTTTTCTCTCGACATTCAATTCTACCTTAAGATGGTATCACGCCCGTCCTAGCCAGCCCCCTGCGCCGTCGCGCCCGTTCCTAGCCGGCCCCCTGCGCCATCGCGCCCGTCCTAGCCTGCCCCCAGAGCCGTCGCACCCGTCCTAGCCGCCCCCCCCCCCTGAGCCGTCGCGCCCGTCGTAGCCAGCCCCCTGAGCCGTCGCGCCTGTTCCTAGCCGGCCCCCTGAGCCGTCGCGCCTGTCCTAGCCGGCCCCCTGAGCCGTCGCGCCTGTTCCTAGCCGGCCCCCTGAGCCGTCGCGCCTGTCCTAGCCGGCCCCCTGAGCCGTCGCGCCTGTTCCTAGCCGGCCCCCTGAGCCGTCGCGCCTGTCCTAGCCGGCCCCCTGAGCCGTCGCGCCTGTCCTAGCCGGCCCCCTGAGCCGTCGCGCCTGTTCCTAGCCGGCCCCCTGAGCCGTCGCGCCTGTTCCTAGCCGGCCCCCTGAGCCGTCGCGCCTGTTCCTAGCCGGCCCCCTGAGCCGTCGCGTCTGTTCCTAGCCGGCCCCCTGAGCCGTCGCACCCGTCCTAGCCGGCCCCCTGAGCCGTCGCGCCTGTTCCTAGCCGGCCCCCTGAGCCGTCGCGCCTACTCCTAGCCGGCCCCCTGAGCCGTCGCACCCGTCCTAGCCGGCCCCTTGAGCCGTCGCACCCGTCCTAGCCGGCCCCCTGAGCCGTCCCGCCCATTCCTAGCCGGCCCCCTGAGCCGTAGCATTCGTCCTAGCCGCCCCCACCCAAAAAAAAAAAAAAACAAGAGGCGACGCAATCGTCTTAGGGTTGCGGAGCCCTTTTAAGATAGATACATTTATTCTGATATAATGCGTAACAAACTTTTAGAGTGTAGGTATTCGATAACATTCAATCATGATTTGACGTATATACATGCGAAATAACCAATCGATATTTTATGTCATATCAGTATACTACCACTATGTCGATGCACGTTTTAGCATCAATAATAACTCATTCATAACATTGGCCTTCACGTACATGTGTTTATTATATTTTATGGGCTTTTTTATGATTCGTTTTGAATCAAGGATTGCGTCAGTCTACCAAAAAACGTGACATGCTGTTTGAGTAGGTCCGTGTTTCTTGTTTGATTCTGCTTCTACAGTCATATATTGACAATTTGCTCCGTATTCTTCCACGGTAGCCTAATTTGCGTAACGTATTTTCTGATTTGTATGCATTTGGATAATTTTTCCCTTTCCGGCAAATGCCCACGCTGGGGCGTTTCCGTTTTGTTTCTTCTTTGTGGCGAGCAAATTTGCCACCTCTTGTTTTTTCACCCCACTGGCGAAGCTCGTCACGTGCTCTGCCAGACGAAAACAGAATGTGACGTGGCACTGACACTTGCCGAGCCACACACACCACAGGATGCTGATTTCTTCCCGTCAATTGGAGGAAAATTTCTCGAGCTCGGCACTACATCAATTACGTGTTACACACTCAATTCTCGAAATTTGAGTATCGATAGATTGGTTTGAATAACACAATTACGGAAATTTCAGTGCTATCGGTCACTTTCTGACCGTAAAGAAGACTCCTTCCAGAGCTTCAAAAACAAGCTTGATTCATCGCCGCTCTTCCGCTCCAAGGTTTCGCCCTGCAGAATCGAGGTTGTTCCATCCCATCCATTATTTTCGAGCATGGCTTTTCCTCTAATCTCCTCCTCCCTACCCTAGTCTGACATTTTGCTTCCTCTCTTCCACGAGTTAGCGGGTACAACCACTACTTGAGGCAGCAACACGCCATCAACTGCTACTCTTTTTTAACTCTCAACTCTACGACGTGTTTTACTCTCACCTGTACGACGTGTACTCTAGATCGGTAGAAATAGTAGCACACTGTCATAGGATACTCTTTTCTCTATACTTCACCTCTTTCGGTTTTTTCAAGATTGTGGACTTTGCCACATCTGCCATGTCTTCTTTCTGATAGTAATTTAGTTTAGATGCTAGTTTCCCATATCTTCGTTTCATCGTTCCTTTATTCCCCAAGCTCTTGTTGATAATTTAATAAGAAACCGGTGTAATCCCTTTCATCTTGAACACGAGGTAAGCACGACCCTTACCTTTCCCCCATTCATCTCCCCTATCATCTTGCTCTCTCGCTTCCATCTGTGCCACCTCTTTTACTGAAAGTTCTCCGTTTTTCAATCTTGTTCGTTCAAATCTATCACTGTGCCACCTTTTAATCCGTTCTCTACCTTCCTTACCCTTTCCATTCAAACTTTGCCGCAATCAGTCGTGTCGTGTGCTCGCTTTCCGTTAATACTCGTTCTTTTTCTTCTCTTCCATGATTATTTCTTATATCCCTGCAGATTTTCAACTGCGCGTTGGCAATGCTAAGTTACGTCTTTATGGGCGACAAATAAAAAAATTATTCTCTAAGCTGCATATATGTTCTTGTGAAACTGTTTCAACTTGTTTTGGTACCTTGTGCAGGCATTGTTCCTTGTCATTAATCTAGTAGTCGTAATACACCGTGTATTAAAAAAATGGAATTGTTTTTTATCACTTCAAGCAAGGTTCTTGACTCTCTCCTTGAGTGTAGTCATTAGAACTGGAAGTGGTAAATGCAATCCTTTTTTTGGAACTCTCAAATTGTGTTGTTTTTTGTTTATATTTTTCTCAGTCGTTAGGCTTGAGGCTTCCCCCCCCACCCCCCTCGCTAGAGCTGGGGAAGCTGTGGCCTAATTTTGTCTTGATGAACTAGGCTTTTCGCTTCCCCCACTGAGCTGGGGAAGTGATAGCCTATTTTTGTCATCGACAAAAATATGCCACAACATATGATGGGTAGCGAAGGTATTCACCTTCTTTTGTTCCCCATCACTGTTTTTTTTTTTTTTTTTTTTTTTTTTGCAATAGGTACACGTATTTCATAATTGTGCGTTACACCTAAACCACTTAGATATTTTTTTATCTTAAAAAAACTTGAAAAAAAACCTGCCCGATCGATTGCAATAGGTTGCTCCGCAACCAAAAAAAAAAAAAAAAAAAAAAAAAACGTCGTGCCCATTCCTAGCCGGCCCTCTGAGCTGTCGCGCCCGCTCCTAGCCGGCCACCTTGCGCCCGTCGCGCCCATCCCTAGCCAGCCCCTCGCGCCCGTCCCTAGCCGGCCCGTCGCACCCGTCCCTAGCTGGCCCGTCGTGCCCGTCCCTAGCCGGCCCCGTCGCGCCCGGCCCTAGCCGGCTCGTCGCGCCCGCCCCTAACCGGCTCGTCGCGCCTGTCCCTAGCCGGCCCGTCGCGCCCGTCCCTAGCCGGCCCGTCGCGCCCGTCCCTAGCCCGCCCGTCGCGCCCGTCCCTAGCCGGCCCGTCCCGCCCGTCCCCAGCCGGCCCGTTGCGCCAGTTCCTAGCCGGCACGTCGCGCTCGTCCCTAGCCGGCCCCTTGCACCCCCCGTCGCGTTCGCTCCGTAGCCGGCCCCTTCACACCCGATCAGCGCCGACCCCGCGTTCGTCTCGCCGCTGGCCCACCCCCGACTCATGCCCGGCCCGTCCTTCCCAACCAGCACCGCACTGCACTGCTCGGCACCGCTCTACACCGCACTGCACTGCACTGTACCGCACAGCACCGCACTGTACCGCACAGCACCGCACTCCACCGCATTGTACCGCTCTGCACCGCACAGCACTGCACTGCCCCACGCTGCACCGCACAGCACCGCGCTGCTGCTGCATCGCTCCGGATGGGGGACTCCGTGCTCTGCTTCGACGCAGAGGGACAGCTGATCGAGTTTGATACGTGGCTGGTCGACCTCCGGCGTCACCTCGCTGGTCAGCGGCAGGACGGCCACTCCCTGGCGGTCCATCTTGACGGTACGCTCCCCTGCCCTGACCCGCCTGCTCCCCTGCCCGCTGACCCCTCGTCTACTGACCGTGAGTCCGCCGCAGCTGCTGCCCTTGCCCACTCAGTTTGGCTGTCACGTGACGCTGTCGCGCAGCTTGCGATCAGTCATGCCCTCCCCTTGTCTGAGCGCTCATGCTTTAGGTTAGTCACGACTGTGCAGGAGTTCCTAGAGGCCGTCGTCAAGCGCTATTCTACTCCGCCTGCTGCCTCTGTAGGTCGCCTGATCCTGCCGATGCTCTTCCCTGACCTTGCGTCCTTCCCTACTGTCGCCGACCTAGCCGCTCACCTGCGCACGACAGACGCGAGCTGGCGTGCTGCATGCACTGAGATCCAGCTTAGAGCCTTTCAGCCGCCCCTCTGCTCTGCCCTCTACCTGCTTGCCACCCGCCTCCCTGATCGTCTTGCTACTGCCCGTGACCACTTCCTTAGCATCCATTCTGGTGACCTCACCCTCACTGACTTTCTCGACACCCTGACTGCCATAGAGACCCGCCAGCGCTCTATCGTACAGACCAGCGGTACTGTGCCGGTCCCTATCTTTCAAGGTTGTGCCCCCGCTCAGTGCACCTTCTCCGACGGTTCTGCTGCTGTGGCTGAGACCGCAGCTGCAGCGCAGATCCGTTCCGGGAAGGGCCGCCACCCCAAGGCTGGGTGCGGCGGTGGGAGTGGCGGTGCAAGTGGAGGTGGTGGTGGAGTTGGGTTGGCTAGTGGTAGCGCTGACGAGGGGACCCTGCCACGTGCAGCCGAGCAGCCGCAGGTGCCGCAGCCGGACACGCACCAGCCGCAGCTGCAGCCTTCGCACCAGCCTCAGCGGTGGACGTGGTGGTGGTGCGCGTGGTGGGCTGCCGGGTGGCTGTTCGGGTGACGCGCGCTGTCAGTACCAGCTCCAGACCGGTCCTTGCCGTGGTTTTGTTTGCGGTAAGATCGTTCACACCTCTGTCCGCTGTTTCTGTTGCCTAGACGACCTGTTTCGTCAGCGCTTTGGCCCGTCGCCCGACCTCCCCGACTGGCACAGCTTGCTATGCCGTAGCGTTCAGATCTTTGATATGGAC